CTATATCAACAACATTTATTTCAGGGTAATCTATTCGTTTACTCTTGCCTTTGTCTTTGAGAACTTTCATAACATTATTCTTAATATAATCAAAAAGTAAAATTATTTGTATTTATAAAATTAGTAATCAATAACAAGGAAATCAATCGGGTGAACATTGTACCCCCACCCTATAACTCTTTATTGAACCAACAAACGAACATAATTAATTTAACGCCTCCGCCCCTCACAGCAGATGTTCAAACAGACAGAATCAACACTAATTCTATCAATCACAAATCCATTAACGAATATTCTTCAATTAGCCCATCAAATTATTTTATTTCACGCCCTACATGCGTTTGTCGTAAATTCTAAAAGCGTGCGGTCACGTGAAACTACACCATCGCACAACAGTTGTGCGATTGTCGATTGTTTCGCAGCCCATTCCACAAGTAAAAATAGAGTAGTGTGCGATAGTTTAGTAAAATGTGTGCGCCCGCACTTGTTACAATGTAACAATTGTATTTTTACAAATCATTACGCATTCACGAATCATTAGTCTTCATTGACTGTTATTTGATTTTGTAACATTTGTTAAAGTGTTTATTTACGTAAAAGTTATAAAATTATTTTTATTTAACAAATACCCTTGAAATCGTTTAGCTTAAGTTCCTACCCCACTCTGTTCTTTCATCAAGTTACCCTTGTCCCTGCGTAATTGGTAGTATTTGCTGCTCTTTCATACAACTCTATCGGCCGTCAAATCTGAATTCACTCCCTTCTTAAGCATATTATCTTTCAAACAATCCAACTACTTTCTTCGGTTTTCCACTACCTTTAGCCATTCACATTCAATCTTAATACCTTTTATATACTCCCGCTCTGTCTCTTACCTTACAATTTGTAACTTTTTAAAAAAAAATAATTGATATCACCGTTTTTTATTATTATTACTTTCTTCACTCGTGACGTTTTTTTGTATACAAAATCATTCAACTTTTACCATCCACATCTGTTCAGAAGTATTTAAACTTTAAAACACACGTGGAAAATTAAAAAATGAAAAGGCGCGTAGCCGCATCCGCGTATTGTGATCAAAAAAGGCTTTGCAAATAAATCCGCTATATGCTTGACACGTCCTTTCAGAAGTCGGAAAGCGAGGAGGGAAGTTGTTAGGCGCTCGACAAACGCGCAAAAATACCCCGTAACGGGCAAAGTTGGATTTACTTGTACGTCCAAATGTCATAGTGACGTAACGAGGGACAATGATCTACGAGTGATGCCTCCACTGGAAGTGAAAGAAAATTTTCTTATTTGTGAATTGAAATTTAATCCTAAATTGTAGAAATAACGAAGAAACACCTTAAAATGATTCAGACGCTTTTATTAATTTAAACTAGTTATGTATTCGCAAGTACAGAGAAACTGCTGATTATACGGCATTTGGGAAAAAGGGTCGCTAGAATGACCCTATGTCACTTTCTTTCCACACGTATGTGAAAATCTTTAATATTTCTTTGTCTAAAATTATTTCGACAAAGAATTGAAAAAAAAGATCCTTGGTCTATCACTATATTCGTTTAAGGAAACATAACTTAAGAGGAAATTGTAACATTTCTACATCTATGTCCGTCCTATTTTCCGCATACAACTTTTGGCCCATTTGCGATTCGTTTGAATATACAATGATATCGACCCGACAAACTTAATAGTATCACTACCTTGTACTACCTTGCACCTTAACTTCTACACAATAAAGCGTAGTTTGTCTTACATTTTCTTTTCGCGCAGGTCTATATTTTTCGGTCAAGCTGTACGGAAAATGCTGGGATACTGTACGCGATTCATCCATCATTCATTCTTCGTGTGCGGTGTGAAAGACGCCTATGACGATTATGACGCTCGCTGCTGTGTGACAACAGCTACATTTTCCAATGCCATGTCCTTTATGACATTGTCATAGGGGCTTTTTTCCTTTGTTCGCACTCGTTGCTTGCTTTGCAGGACTTTAGACACTTCTATACGAAATTACAGTTTCGTAACGTCCTAACGTATACCATTTTCACGCAAATCTCTACTTTATTGCTATGCCAATATGTGTGAATATGTTTTGCATAAATCAAGCTAGTTGCACCATTGGAATTATGAAGAATGTGTAACTAAGCGTTGATAGTACTTGCTAGTTATTTGACTGGATTGCATCTGATTGTAGATTTGGGAATGTCATCTCTATGTGTATGCGATAAGGTTGCTTTTTGTATGTCATTGTGTATTTAGGAATTGGGAGCGCGTTAGACAGTTTTCTAGGCATTGTTCGCAGCTTGCAGATGGTGGGCTGAAAGGCGCGATCGTCGACTATACGTGAGCGCGTCAAGGACCACAAGTGACAACCTTTGTTTGTGAGAGCTTTATCTCCAAATACATTTAGAAATGTATAGAGAAAGTGAAGCAACGCCAACAACCGGCATTGAAACAAACGTTACTTCAATGACTCGTAAAGCGAACGCTCACTAAAATAATATCACGGAGGAATCGTACTATTAATAGGAAGCTTGCATGGCTGCATGGATGTTTGTTAGAGTTTGTAGCCTAAACTGCTTATCAGGTCTCGGTGAAATTTGGCAAAGACGTAAAACTTAGTCTGGAAGAATACATGGGCAACTTAATTAGTTTTTTTTATTCCGTCCGGACAATTTCAAGGGCAAATGATATTACTAACTTAAATTTGTTGGTTGCTTTGAGTTGGTAGGTCAGTAACATACTAAAAGATGTAAAGAGTAACCTTAGGAAACGTAATATATGAAACATAATACATATGATTTGGTTAAATATTCACCAATTAAATTAATTATTTTTAAACATACAATATTAATATGAATACTGTTAGAAGTAATAATTAGATTGGCACTTGAATTTGCTAACCATTTTAACGTTATGAGGAATCACGAGAAACACATGAAAATGGAATATTCCACGACGCGCGGCAACATTGTAGTTCGTAGCTGTTTGCTTGTAAAGTAACTTCTGTGCATTACAAAGGCTTCTTTAATTAATAATCTTAGAAACTGTCGATGTGGATAATACTAGAGCTGTACCTACCTTTTCGTCATATTAAAATAATTTGTTTTGTTATTGATATAACAGATTCCGTCTTGCATGAATTGTATTGTGCTCTGATTACATACGTAGTACCCTCTAGCGTCAAAACTAATGATTAGATAAGTAACTGAATCGTCTCACTTTAAGAGGTATTTCGTACGTTTTGTGTGCGACAAAATCCTTGTCAACACATGTTTTGACAAATTTTATAGTGTTCAGCACTGTAAAATTCTTCCGCTTTGAATATAAAGAAGTACTGATTCAATTAACGGAATCTATAACAAAACTACTAAATATGTTTTCAAACTCATAGCCTCTCAAAAGCGACAGTTTCAGTGACAAAGGGACTTTAATTAATACGATTTTAAGCTACCTCTGATCTTTCTTAGTTAATTTGTAAGTAATCTTCCGTAATGTTTACTCTAGTTATCGTTAATTAGTTGTTACCGGGTTTCAAGGATTTGTAAGTCGATTAAAGCAAATTTGATTTTCACGATAAGGAAAAAAAAGCAAAAAAAGCCAACATCACGCGGTGTTCCCAGGCGGTCACCCATCCAAGTACTGACCGCGCCCGACGTTGCTTAACTTCGGTGATCGGACGAGAACCGGTGTGTTCAACGTGGTATGGACGTTGGCGAAAGCGCTTCTTAATTTAAATATCGAATATTACTTTTATTGTAATCTTGAAAAAAAATAAACAAAACACGAAAGAAAAGTGTTTATATTGAAAAAAAAATTATTCTGTTAAATAAAAAAAAAACAAAAAGCCAACATCACGCGGTGTTCCCAGGCGGTCACCCATCCAAGTACTGACTTAACTTCGGTGATCGGACGAGAACCGGTGTGTTCAACGTGGTATGGACGTTGGCGAAAGCGTTTCTTAATTTAAATATCGCATATTACTTTTGTTGTAATAATAATTAAAAAAAACACTAATAATTGTTGTATTAAGAAGAAGCGAATTTCATTTATACTGATAATATAACGGAGAAGCAAAGTTTAATGATTGGTGCAAAAAAAATATTAAAATAGATGTTCCCGTTTAAAAAGTCTGCAATTGTGTTCTCATAATTCCTCTACTATAACCAAACGATGACGTATTGTTGACGACAAAAATATTATCTCCGGGGTTCAGTTCAGACAATCAATTACAGGCCCCATCAATCTGAGGAGCGAGAAGTGTCGCGTCATGACGCCGACATTACTCTGACGTGACGTGACGTGATGCGAACCAACGAATCATCGCCAACGCTCGAAGTTCTCAGGAAATGACGCGGTCCGACTGCAGATTTGCAGACATACGTTGTATTTATTTAAAAAAAAATCTCTTTAGTTTCAAAAATAGTGATATTTTAAGAAAATCTAAATTAGATTTGTAATAAAAATGTTTCCACTAGCATCGGAAGAAAAGTGAAGAAGAAAATTGCGCTTTTAAAACACTAAGCTATCAATTATTGGTTCACTTACCTTAATCCTGAAGTTTAAAACACACAAATCCAAACATGAAATTATTATTACTAAGTAATGTGTAATTTTTAACTATATCTTTTGAAAAAAATATAAACGTTTAGGAAGTTCGAATAATGCAAAAACTCCATAAAAAAACGAGTATCCATTTGGTTTAGATTTCGAACAGCAGTCAATACTAGGTAAGTAATAAACCTTTTTATACATTGTTATGTTCTTTATTGTATAAAGAAACACGCATACACAGTACTTGAGTTGGCACGTCAGACAGAAAGGTATTCTTATTCCCGATGTGCCAAATTAAATGACAGGAATACTAAAGTAAATCTAAAAATTAATACAAATACAGTATTGAGTAATGACTTATTATAAATAGGTATATGACTTTTATGTAGTTTTGTTTTAGTTAATTGTATTTTAAAATTAACACTTTCACAAAACAACCGTGTACAGAAACTATGGCGGTTAAAAACTTGTTAAAATTTTCGGATAACGTGAGTGAATATAACAAATGCATCGCTAAAACTTCCGATAACAAAAAAAGTTAATCTATTGAACACCGAACGGATAATATGAAATTCTGGTGACGTCACCGGGCACGTAATGTAAGTCCTGATAGGCTTTCACCATCATCTGCTGGTTGACGACAGCGAAAGGCCTCGGGGAAATACTCTCTATAGATGGTAAAGGCCTTAAATCTAAACTAGGTAGGGCCTCCTCCTTTGGCCTGATTGTTGTCGGCACAAACGATGTTTGAGAAATCGTCGGTACAGGGTAACTGATCATATTGTTATACATAAACTGATGTTCAGTGTAATTCACTGGGATCTGATAGTTTTGATCAGCTCGAGGTTCTATCTCAACGAACGCCTCTCTACTGTAGATAGCAGGATTACTATACGTTGGTTCTATTCGGTTCTTTCGACGCGGACGGTATTTGTAGTCTGGGTAGTCATGCATGTGCTTCAACCTTAATCTCTTCGCTTCATCTATGAACGGTCTTTTCTCCGTTTCGTCCAAACTCTTCCATTCATGTCCGAGTCTCTTCGATATCTCGGAGTTGTGCAGTTTCGGATTCATCAGAGATATCTTCTTCCTCTGCAATCTTGACCATACCATGAATGCGTTCATTGGTCGCTTTATGTGGTAAGGATTTGAGTTTCTCGACATTTTCTGCGTTGGTTTTGCAGTTTGGATGTCTATTGGGTACGCCATTTATTTGCTCCTATTACAATTGCTATATTTTCTTAGTAACTTTCATGTTTGAAATAAAATTGGGTCTTCCATATAGTCTTCTTTCTTCTGTACATTTTAACACGACAGAACCATTTGTAACATACGATTGTTTATAGTTGGTTTGTGATAATTGTCCATTTCAACATATCATTTATGTGAATAGCTCGCGTAAGCTTAACCGGGCACTGGCAAGTTTGCACTGATCACCAGTTCGAAGCCAACTAAATCTGACCGCTGTCATTAGGCCAACAAAGGCCGCACCACAATAGCAATGACAATTTTCAACGTATTATCTGCCGCTGAATAAAGAGCGGCGACAATGCAGTGATTGCTCACAAATTGTCAAATGATACTGTCGTATGTTTTGTGCGAGGCGCGCCCGCTCTGTGCTCTATTAAAAAGAAGTGGTGCGTACGGTCTGCAGACGAACTATACGCTACATGTGCATGGACAGGACATGACGAATAAAATCATGAGAAAATTTCAATCTTGTCCTTTTTTGAGGACCACCTTTCGCAAGTGACTCTGTCCGCATGGAATTAAAAGAAAAACAAAAGTGTAGCCTATAAGACTATCCTTTAAATCTGTGCCAAATTTCATTGAAATCCGTTCTGCCGTTTAGGCTACAAACTCTAACAAATATCAATCAATCTAAACTTTCACTTTTATAATATTAGTATGAATATCATATTTAGAATTATAGTCAAGATAGCAGAAAAATTAGAAGACAAGGAACTTTCTGTAACTTCTCAGTTTCATTTTAACATTTAGTTCCACAGAGATTTTTTGTAGTTGTTTTTGTTCTTTACCGAATTGTTCGTATCACATTTCACGATTCATTTTCCTTCTGTTCTGCACGTCTCGTGTCGTAACACCAATGATTAATAGATGTCGCGTTGTTTAGGAACACGGGTTTTTAATAAAATACATTCATACAATTTCAAATGAGTAAATTGTAGACGACAGTGGGAAGCTAACGAAAGTGACCCTTCTTTTTAAATATTTACGCCTTTATCTATAATTTTTACAAGTTTATATACTTACTGCTGCCAACAATCTGTTGTAAAATGTGGTTAGCAAATTGTTATAATGAACATTAGGTGTACAAACATAATATTTAAAACTTGAAGCATTTTTAATACTACGCCCAATAAAGGGCACATTCTCGATTCAAATATAGGCCTAACCTATAGAGTTAATAAATTTGGAGTGTTTGTATGTAATGTCGCAAAAAAAACATATTTTCGTGTATGTGATATGTATGCTTTACCTTTTTTATCGATGGGGGAATCTTCAAAAAGATACCCTTCCTTCTGGGGGGAAGACAGGGTTATATGAGGTTTGTACCCACTAAAACCCCCTCGGTGGCCAGCCTGTAGTGCAATAGAAGAGAGTTCCGGGATCTCCTTGGAACTCACCAGAACCTTCGGCACTTTACGACACAGTATAGGACATTGCCTGATGTTCCGCAGCGTTATGGCTACATAGGACCACGCTATGGCACAATCCTCCCGGACCATTATGTATGCTTTACTTATGACGAAAAACAGATTATTAAAATTCTTATCTTTGTTTCAATCTCCGTAACAGTTGGATAGATTTTGGCGGGAAGATAACTGATGCAAGCGGGATTATTATATCAAGCTTTTTTAACGCATACGACCGCTAGACTTATGCATAATATTTGCTATTCCGTCGACTTTCGATTTATGGGAAATATGTAAAACCTTTTACAGCGAAGTATATAAATTTCTGTCATATAATAAAACTATAAAGGTACTTACTTTATCGATAACTTAGACGTTATTACTTATCTTTGAAGTCAATTGAATGCTTTATTTACTGTTCATTTCGCAATAGAAATGTATTACACTGCGATGATCTAGCATTGTGCGGTAATGGAGGCAAGGTGTGGCTTAATCCCGCCGTAACGCATTGAAGGCAGCTGCTCGATTTGCCAACAAACAAATCAATAGATCGAGTCCAACTCGGCCGGACAATGCACAATCGAGAATATAGAATTGCGTAAAGTTATCTATTTGTGACTACTGGCGTTAGGGTAGGGCAACCGCCCAGGGCACCAGGCTTAAAGAAGTGAGTTTGTATTGCAGTTAGGAAGTGCTGTAGAAATCTCGCCCAGGGCGGTAATGCTAAAACCGGCCCTGTTTGTGACCGGTACTGTTTGTTTACTTGCAATGAAAACGGAGAGTGGAGAAATATATAACTAATTTGGTTTCTATTAATATTTCTCTATCATAATGACCTGTTTAATAACAACTAATTTAGTTGCCATTTTATATACGTAGGTGAGGAACCTCTATTCAAGTAATATAAGTACTATTGACTTTTGAACATACTGGCGACATCTATTAACGGATTTTAGGCTTATTGCAAGAAAAAACCGTTTTTACTTTGTTTTTTTTTTACATTTATCAAGACAAAACAATATCCAACTATTTTAAGCTTAAAACGGTTAAATTAAATCGATTGACATTTTTAGAAACAATTAAGAAATTATTTGTTAATTTAAAAAAGCGACATCTAGTTTATTAAATTAATATCACAACGAATGACCTCACCAGATTGAAAATTCTGTCAAACGTACTGCTAGATGGCGCTACGTTGCTTATTTAAGTAGTTCGCCCACTAGATGGCTATAGTTGCAATAAATATGTGAAATAATAACTTTTTCAAATGCCATGATTTTGGCTTACAGAAGCATATATTATTAAAGAATAATTTTGAACATCAGCAGCAAAAAACCAATAACACGCGGTGTTTTTTTAATTAAGTATCGGATTATCAAATTTTATATTACAAATGTAAAAAGCAAAAAGTAATTAATATAACATTTCTTCTACCGAAACGGTATAACGAAAAAGCCTACAAAAAAAAACAAAACATAGAACATTATATATACCGATTGTAAAAGGTTTTATTGTATTTAATAAAAAAAAAACAAAAAAGCCAACATCACGCGGTGTTCCCAGGCGGTCACCCATCCAAGTACTGACCGCGCCCGACGTTGCTTAACTTCGGTGATCGGACGAGAACCGGTGTTTTCAACGTGGTATGGACGTTGGCGAAAGCATTTGTTAATTTAAATATCGAATATTACTTTTCTTGTAATCTTGAAAAAAAAATAAGCAAAACACGAAAGAAAAGTATTTACATCGATTGAAAAAAAAAATTATTCTGTTAAATAAAAAAAAAAACAAAAAGCCAACATCACGCGGTGTTCCCAGGCGGTCACCCATCCAAGTACTGACCGCGCCCGACGTTGCTTAACTTCGGTGATCGGACGAGAACCGGTGTTTTCAACGTGGTATGGACGTTGGCGAAAGCGTTTCTTTATTTCAATATCGAATATTACTTTTCTTGTAATCTTGAAAAAAAATAAGCAAAACACGAAAGAAAAGTATTTATATCGATTGAAAAAGTTTTTATTCTGTTAAATAAAAAAAAAAAAAAATAAGCCAACATCACGCGGTGTTCCCAGGCGGTCACCCATCCAAGTACTGACCGCGCCCGACGTTGCTTAACTTCGGTGATCGGACGAGAACCGGTGTTTTCAACGTGGTATGGACGTTGGCGTGCAGACATAAGAATTATATGGTTAAGAATAATTCTAAAAAAAAAAGAATCATAATTAATATATACTAGGAATAAACACTGCTACTGCACACATACGTCTTCTTAATAAATTAATAGCATAATATAGGTAACGTTTCTTTTTAATTTAAAGAAACATTTAAATGCATAAAGAAATGACACTCGTTTCCAAATGATAAGCACCGTGAAATTTATGTCAGAAGTCGTAAAACTGGTGCAAGCCCACCTCGACAAGGAGCCACTTTGTAAATCACTGGAGACATAAAGGGGGTATTTAAGCTGCCATATTTATGAAAATAAGATCCTATAAAGCTATAATAGAAGATACAAAAAGCTACCGCTCGGTGGCGTCGCGAGGGAACTGTCCGTGACGTTTACACCTCACGATACGATATATCGTATGCCTTGAATATGACTGAAAAATTACATTAATAATACAACAAAACGAAGACAAAACTACAATTAAACGATTTGAATTTTAGTTTATCTTAAATATAAAAATTATTGTTCGTTGATTTGTTTAAAATCATTGCTTAATAACAAGGCAATTTAAACATTTGAAGTATGTATTGAAAATAAGGTATAAAAATTTATTTTGATATCTAAAATAATGTGAACAAACAAGTTATTTACAGTTGCATCATTGGTCTTGAAGTGTATGAAAATATTGAATGGATCGTGCAGTGTAAAGGGACCTTAAGTCTTAACTTATTGTTATTGGGGATTTTAAGCCTCAGTTTTATGTTTGATATCGTCGTCGGCGCTCGCCCACCTATTTATGTTTATATAGATTTATTATCAGACACTTGGCAAGAAAATGGCCGCGAATCGTATACAATGTTACAAGACTTATAAAATGAAAAATCGTATTTGTTATCTTTTTATTAATTTTTATTTAACAAATAAATATCTTTATAATGAATTTAAAATTAATTTCAACACTATCTATTAACTATCGCTGGAAAACTAAAGATAGTTTGTTTTAACATTTGGATGAGAAATTGGTCTAAAAAGTTTGTTCAATAGATTTAAATTTATTTATATTATCACTATGGCTATAATCATACTTAAACATTAAATATCGTGTAAAAACTGACTGAAAACTCATATTTCACTAAAAATAGGTTATACAATAATGCAAATGATTATATATTCAGAGCACACGACTCGGCAACAAACAAATAAACACAAATGCGAGCGAATAGAATGGAGTGAAATGTTATTCCACACCCTGTATAATAAAAATGTCTCTTGTGCTCTATAAGAATTGTACATTGCATAAAATAACAGACGATATGTCGCAGGATTTCCAAAACTAGGAACGAATGGTAAGTAATAAAATTTGGTGTTTTAAAAATAACCTTTGAAAAATAATAAACTATCATTACTCAAATAATAAATAAATCATACTAATACTATAAATGCGAAAGTTTAGATGGATGGATGGATGTTTGTTAGAGTTTGTAGCCTGAACAACTGAACGGATTTTGATGAAATTTGGCATAAATGTAGAGGATAGTCTGGAGGAACACATAGGCTGCTAGCATTTGTTTTTTTTCAACTCCGCGCGGACGGAGTCGCGGGCAAGAGCTAGTGCTATCTAAATAGTAGAAGCGTATCAATGGTATTATCTTAAAAATCTTATTGACCCTTAAATTGAAATTTTTCTCTCCTTTTACACCAAAATATCCGCTCATGCTTTCAGTTTAAATTACGGATATCTTGAGACTTATCTCTGAGATGAAACTGTGTTGTATATCATGTATTCCGCGGGTCTCCTTTATGTCGGCATTGATAGGATATTTTATTTCCTACCCGTTCAATAGCAGGCGTGTGGGAGACCCTTTGTGTCTCCGTTACATTTACATTTAACATATAAAAATATTCACTACAATACTATTAATAAGAAGTAAGGATATTAGTACTCAAACTATCGGAATGTTTAGTACGAACTTAGTATGGAAACTTCTTTTTCTTTTGATTAGCTGTGCCTCGCGACTTCGTCCACAGGAAAAAAATTAATAAAAATGTAGTCTATGATACTCAGTACATATAGTTTTAATGGTGCAAGATTTTTTTTTAAAATATAAGGTGACAAACGAGCAAGCGGCCACCTGAATCCACCGAAATGAAAAGCGACCGCTGCCCATAGACATCCGCAATTGTAGATGCGTTGTCTACCCTTAATTGACGGAGGAGGAGACCCACAAAAAGACATTTCCCCTTTCTATGCGTCTCCTCCACCTTCAAATCTGCTTTTCCTTCCTATCCTTTCCTCTTAAGAAAAGGGTGGAAAGGGAAAGGGACTAAAATTAGGCCTCCGGCACAACAATCATCAGACGAAATGCGGAATTGCTTCCACTTCACGCCTGTATTCTGTGTTCGTGGTATTACACCGCGCGAGCCGGCCCATTAGTGCGAAGACGTTAAAGCGGGGTCTACAACTGTTAAAACTCTAACTAGGTTCAGTCATTTTTGAATTATTTCTGTCCATACAAAAATACAAATCTTTCCTGTTTAAAACATTAGTCTATACTTATATAAATATAGATTATTCAAGTAAGTATAGATTACTAAAATAATTTTGTTAAGTTACTTGTTATATCACTAGAAAGGTTAAAGAAAATGATTGGAAATCAACTATAAATTAATACAAGAACGTTCGGTTCTTTAGTTTTAGTTTAGTTCAATATTATATTCCTAATAACACCAAATTATTAAGAAAAGTTTTGTCTGCAGCATTGTATAGTGAATGTATCGTATTCACACCAAACAATGTGTGACGTCCCCTCTACGCTGTAGGCGCTACACGGCGCATATTGTAGCCGCGAGCTACGATGCTACGTGACTTGCCGCTACGGCTGATATTCACGTATAAAAGACGACAAAACGAACAAAGCCGAACGGATATTTTGGTACCTTTATTAGTAAGTTAGGAGTTATTTACTAAGTTATTATATTAATTACGTTACAGATGACTATATTACTCTTAAAAACATAGATAAAGAAAACTGAAAATATACTGTAAAAGGTTATATGTAATACTAGTCTTAACCCGCGACTTCGTCCGCGTGGGTTTATCAAAAACAAAAGTGAGTAGCCTATGTGATCTTCCAGTCCTTCCTCTACGTCTATGCCAAATTTCATCGAGATCCGTTCAGCAGCTTAGGCTACAAAAACTATCAAAAATCCATCTAAACTTTCGCATTTATAAAAATAGTAAGAAATAAGATGTTGTAGATATTGCCCGCGAATTCACCCGCGTGAAATTAAAATAAATAGATTATGTTACTCACTAATAACGTAGCTTTTTTGAAATCGGATGAATATTTTTCGAGTTATTCCAATACATACAAAAATACAAATCTTTCCTCTTTATAATATTAGTAAGTAATGAAGAAGAAGTAAGAACAAATGATTGAAAAGTTTATAAGTATCTAATCGTGTGCAAAATTTAACTATTCGAATATAAATTAAAACAAAATGGCGTTTGTTTCCATTTCCATTAAATTCATAATTAGTTGATATTACAATATAATTAAGGTATCGTAAATACGGTTAGTGGTGCGGACGTCCAGTAAAAGCGGTGTAGAGAGTGGCGAGTTGCCGGCGGCGAGGCAGCCAGCCGGCAAAAGGCCGTATAACGCGATATTGTCACGCTGCCGGATTGTTTTATGTACACTTACTCACATAAATGGGAAGCAATTTATATGTATGAATTTAATTTAAAGCAGGCAGCCAATAATTAAATTCACAATACTTTTAAAATTGACAATTATTTGCAAGCCGAGTTTCTAAGCCAGAGGGTCCTGTTAGAGCAAAGAATAAGATCCACTTTAGTCGGCATATAGTCCTAAAGAAAGATTAAAATGTTTAATAAAATGATAAGGCTTTTGTTGGTGATTGTACCACGCACCGAGGTAACTGAATCACCGGCGAGGTTCTATTTCAATTTGACGCGCACCCGCCAGCCGCCAGACAAGCGGCCGGCGACACAACCTTCACACAACATTTTTGTGTTATTCGACGAAGTTATTCGATGGTAATTTGATAGCTGAAAACAAACGTAGAACAAACGGTGTTTTTCAAATAGAACTTGAAATTGTTTAAAACGAGAATAAGGAACATTTTAAAGGGTTAGTTAATACTTGTTGAACACCACGTTTTGTACCGCCATAACTAAATATTTTTAGTTACCATCTTTTACTACTTTTTTTTTTCATAGTATAAAGTGATAACTAACCATTGATTACAATTGCAGTCGTGTTTACTACCTATAATCGACAAAGAAGAGACGCATATAAAGAGGACATTTTCCCTTCCTATGGGTACGTTCCAAATTCAAAATGGTTACTTATACGTCTTACTACTCGCATAAATATTTCGTACTTAATCCACCTTTACCCAAAATTATCATTATACTTAGACTTCCAGTAAGTAATGTAGTAACAAATACTAGGGTTAGTAATTTTATCTCTATCTTATATATTACTAGCTTTCACCCATGACTGTCCGCTTAAAATGAAATAAAAAACAGAAGTAACTAGTATATGTGTTCTTCCGACTATTATCTACATTTATGCCTTTGATAGCCATCTGTTCGTCGATTTAGGCTACAAATTATAACAAACATCATTCAAAACTTTTACATTTATAATATTACTAATGATAAAATTAACAAAATCTGTAGGCAGCACGAACTTGATCCATTCACGGCGAGCGTGACTACTGCAAGAAGACGCTTAGCACTTGACTTTTTTATATAAAACATGAACTGTTACTCACATTATTAATACGTTGTGGCTATTGTATATTGTTATATTGTACCTAATTTATACATATTGTAAATAACTATTTGGTAGTTAGCAGCAGTACCTGCTGTTTGTTTCTGCTATAATATTGTTACAAGCGAAAACTTTTCATTGGCTCTCTGTCATCTAGTTTATAGTTACTTAGATAAGGTTAGGCTGTAAGTTTTCCATGTGTTACATTAATATAAAAATAAAATAAAATAAATCAAACCACACAAAAACTGTATACAAGTACACAAACGCATTAGCATAAAAGCGGCTCTGTATTTGGACGACGTACTCTATAATTACGTGTAGATGAGGTGTCCATTAGGCGGTATTCAGGCGGGCTTGTTTGACCGCGAACCGCCTCATGCAAATTCGCGGCCTCGCCTGAATGCAGAGAATATGTCGTGTCAAAGAACTTCGTTTAATGTGACAACGGAATATGGAAGCGGAACCAGATTTTCATTGCGGTAAAACCTATTGAAAAACTTACCTTATTTATTATGTTTTTAATTAACTTTGTTTTTGTAACGAAATATATGTGTCAATGGTTATTACTCAAATAATTTTGAAAATTTATGAAAAAAGAAGGTTAATAAAATAAAAGTGCTCTATTCTTTGGTTATATCGGTAGTTAAAATAATCAAAATTTAAATAACGTTTATTTATTAGATAGTAATTTAGACTTATTTTGTCTATGGCTTTTAATATTTTGTATTTATGTCATTATCTTATATCTAATTACGTAAATTTATTGAAAATATTATTTGTAATTTAGACTTATACTGCTTATCTTACAGTTTTGTTACTTATTCCTTATTCCCTCTTATTGATTTCAAAGAAAAAAGATTCATAGTTAGTTTTCAGAGCCAGAAACTCGAGTTGGCACACAGACAAACATACGTAACACGTATGCACCCACACTAGTGTAGTATAAGAGCCAATGCATCACTGCAATGCGCGTTGCCGTTCTCCAACGCTGCATACATTTCAAATTGTCGCCGTCCAATTACGCGGGGGCGCGTTTTTCACTAAACGAAGGTTGCGGTACAAAAAACCGAATTTAATCTCGCTAATAAACATGCTAACAAGAAGTCGGGTCACCTGTTGCTCTCCGCGAGACGGTCGTCTATCCGGCCAATCAGACGCCAGCGTCCGCCCAACGCGACTTCTCATTGGCCTTTTAATTTAAGGGGGGACATACGCGAAGGGGGGAATAAACCCAGGCCGCGACACAAACCGTGGCACAAGCGAGAAAAGCGGCGCATTGAGCTTTCGGGAGCTTTTCACCGGCGCGGTATTTTTCAATCACGTCGTCTTGTGTTATTATTGTTTTTAACAATAAATTAAGATTAAATAAATCGAAAATTCAATCTTATAACTGAATACTAACACTATTTAATTATAAAATAATGTATGGACAAAAGTGTAACTAGAATTTGAAATTAACGTATAAAAACTTGTGAACCATGTCTCTTGGAAAGCAGCCCGCGGAGCACATCAAGCGGCCGATGAACGCGTTTATGGTGTGGTCGCGTGGTCAGCGGCGGAAGATGGCGCATGACAACCCTAAGATGCACAACTCTGAGATATCGAAGCGGCTCGGTGCTGAATGGAAGCTGCTTACGGAGATGGAGAAAAGACCATTTATTGACGAAGCCAAGAGGTTAAGGTAAGCTGGTGAATATACGACAATATATACGTACAAAATTTTAAAGTAATCAATCTATAATTACTTAGGTATTATTGTTATAATGAAGAAATATTTGTACTCTCTATGTAATGAATAAACTCAAAAAATACTGGACCGATTTTAAAAATTCTTTCACCATTAACCCTTAACTTGGCAGAATTTTATTTTTTCGAATTTCAAAATAATATTCATAGCACCTTGATGACCCAAGGTGCTTAGAAAAAAAAATTATGTATCTCTACAGATACACTAACAAGAAAAGGGTAAAAGCTACATTACCACTGAGTAACATAGACTATATTTACTACTAGATTTATTTTAATTCCGCGTGTACGAAGCCCAGAAAGTATTTATAATTTATAAGTATTTTATCTTAAAAAAATATAAAAGGTTTTGTGATGATGGTTCCATCCGTTAATAAAATAACTTACAAGCGCAGTCATTCATCAAAATAGTAAAATAATCCATTTTAGTTTCGTTAAAAATAAGTTAGCAGTTGATTTAATTTATTTCATAAATCAAATAAATTTATGCGTAATAAGAAAGAATTGTCAAAATCGGTCCACTAGCGGCGCAGTTATGCCGTAACACATATAAAAACAATATACAGACGAATTGAGTACCCTTTTGGGAAGTCGGTAAACAAAAGAAGGCCGAAACATATTTTAATGCCTGGATTTTTAAACAACATATTTTATTTACATGTTCGAAATTCAAATACTGTTGCCAATTTTACAAAATTAAGCACGTAACATAAATACCTAGTACCTACGTTCTAAGGATCGCAGTTAGTTTGTACTTTTTAAGGTAAATTTTCAAAAATTTTAGGTCACAAAATTATATAGAGGATCGCAAAATATGAATATTGCGAACATTACGATGTACAAAATAACGTACAATCGTGCAAACGCATAGATAATTATATCTTACTTCTTACTGATATTATAAATGCAATACTTTAAATGGATGGCTGCATGTTGAGTTTGTAGCCAAAACTGCTGAACGGATCTCGATGAAATTTGGCATATATGTAGCGAAAAGTCTGGAAGAACATAAAGCTTATTTACTTTTTTTTAATTTAAAGCGGACGGCGCCTGTGCGGAAACTAGTATAAAATAATTGCATCTCGTCATAAAACTGATTGATTTAAATCGACCCTTACGGCGCTTCAGACTTCTAAAGACTTCTGGGGACGTCCCCAGAAAAAATAATATATTAAGATAAGAAAACCTTTCATAACTTGTGAGTCTGAACAGCGTTAATAACTAATCATTTTAACTATAAAACCAACCAAGTTTTAATTTTACTTCATCATATAAAAGCAGTGGAACACATTCCCCACACATGCAGAGTAGATTTGATAAAATTGATAATAAAAGAAACCATACAAAGAGTAACTTAAAATAAAACCCCTCGGAACGATAGCAAGTTTAAACAATAACTATTTGCATTTAAAAACAAACAAGCAATCCAGCCAGCGACGTCTACCACAGACTAAAACAAACACGACACGAAAACAACGTATTTAATCTGTGATACACATCTTATTATCTTTTTAATTCCGTATCACAGAGTAAACAGGCGCTGACAAAACAGCCAGCACACCTGTAAGTTATCACTGTGAGAGACAAAAAGGTTTTATTTGTGCTGGCATTGCACCAGGCGACCATAAATGAACAGTGGTAAAATTGTAACACAAATAAATGCCCGGATGTTTGACACGTTAACAGCGTCCTGATAACGAGTTTTTTTAATTAGCTAGATGCCGTAGATTTACTGCAAATGTTTTAATAACTTTTTAACATTTAACTAAGTCAAATGATTAAGTAGACTATCCCTTTAACGCATAACGCCATCCGTATATAATTAAAAAATTAACTTGTTAGGCAGTAGAAGGTAATGATTACGATCATACTTCATACTAATATTATAAATGCAAAGTTTGGATCGATGTTTTTTACAACAGCTTTCGGATCTTGATGAAATTAGAACACTTAGGCTACTCAGGCCGCGGTTAAGTCGCGGACAAAAGCTAGTCATTACTACTCACTTTTCCTATAAATATAATAATAACGAAAAAACACATAAAAAAGACATCAGAATCAAACACAATGCATAAACCCGTCCCCTAATCTTCACTAATCACGATCCTCAGAGCAAATCGCAACTTAACAAATCAATTTAATCTGTGAGAATACCGCCGGCGCTGGAGTGGGACAATTATCTATTATTCATAGTAATATCTTGCATTGTTAGGGGCGGGCGCGTTATCGGGGTGGAGCAGGGCTATAAAAACCAGCTTATGCGTTCGGTCTAGCTCTTTGTGAAGGCTGGCCGCGCCGGGGAAGCGAATTTGTTTGTTTGCGAACTGACTCCAAGTTTGACGCTCGAATCGCTTTTTGAATGAGATCCTTAATTGACTTTCTGTCTAAAGGTGCATAATATATTTGACTTTTTGTATCGTTTAGATTTGATAAGTTAACATTTACAGTAATCACTAAGATTAATTTCCTTTTCTAGTTACGTAATTACTAATTGCAATTGATAACAAAACTACTTTTATTTTTTGCTTCTGTTGGATTAATCTTCAATTGTTTTTCATTAATACATTGTTTTAAAAATTTGCAAGACCTTTCCTTCGGAGCCGTTATCTTAACCCTTTACACTGTGATGTTAGACTAGTAGTAGTAGAAATGAGTAGTAAATGACGACCCTCGAATGTGTAGTAATAGGATCCCTATCTACTAGCATTACTAAAGCTAGTAATACCAGTAGTAAGATCCACGAGCAGTCACGCTATCGGTCACCATAATGCAGACGCACCTCTATTTGCGTTCCTATTTATTTTTTTATCGTCGACTATTTGATCGCTGCATACAATCGAAAACGGCTGGCCACACAACGCCACAGATAATAAAGGCAAAGATAACGAATTATATTATCTGTCTTGAAGAAAAGTATTCCGGTTAACTTTTATACTGATAAACTGTAGTTGTAATAATTTCTGTTTTATACAGCAGTATGTGGTTGTCTTGAAAAATGTCTACGGCGCAGTTAACTGATTTGAAATCAACCATCTTCCTTTAAGTCACCCGAATTAATTTACGGCGTCATACCAGTCGAATATATATTTTATTATTATTTGAATACAATATTAATTAGATAGACGTGTCTTCGGATAATTGGGCGGACCAAACATCCATGTAACCAAACATTTTTGGTTGTAGTTACTTTATTTTACATTTGCAATACCTAATTCTCCGAGTATAGAGTTTTTTAGTGACATAAAAAAGATTAAACAAGGAACGGAAGAAGGCAATAAATCATAAAAATCCAATACCGTCACAATATTGACCATCAAAAGGAACAATTTCAATATTATAAACGAAATAAAGCGTCTCCTCGTATCGATATCGATATCGATGTTTGTCCAACTCGATTAACTCGGACGAAGATACGCCAAAAAGTGTCCGATAAAAAATAGATATGATTTTTCTTGGGCGAGATATTTTGTTATTTTCCTTGCGCTTATCGTGTTTATTTGGCTCGCAAACACAGTAATGAAGGAATTGATAGTGCGCCGGTCGACGACCCCTGACTTTTTTCAGAAGACGTTCTTTGAATCGATATGTGTTTGCATTCGATATTGTAGCGAATGAATAGAGAAAAAAAGTTAGATAAATGCAAAAGGACATGTTTGATATTGATTTTTTGTTGCGTAAAATATTTATGTATATGTAACAATAAGTACCCTTCGAGATTTTTTTATGTGATAAAAGTATCTGTACTGTCTTAACATATAGATTAGCTATACACAGACAGATTACTACAAAAGTGTAGTAATCTGTCTGTGTATAGCTAATCTATATTGTTCATTACTGAACCCTTTACTCGATACTGTTTTATTGAAATTTTCCATTTAAAATCTCGAAACTCTTTTGCGTTATATGATTTTTATCCAAATCAATTAAATAATGTGTTACGAAATCTCATTGTGTCTATAAAATTGAAAACGAGCAAATTAATATTATCGCTATTTCAGTCGCTAAATTAAAATCAGTTAACCCTATTAACGTTATAATCATTTAAAATCAAACTGTTCGCTTTATTATCGGCCAGTCTAATCACACGGAAAATACAATGCAAATAAATACATTGAACAAACAGAGCTCGTAACCTCAGCATTCAGTACTCGAACTATCGTCCGCCCTCCGTCCATTCGAATAATTACAATCGACTCGCTGACAATCGCGCGATTCTATCACAAAGCTCGCATAATCGTGCGCTGTGTCGCAGCGCGGCACATCACTATAGGACGCATGTAAACACACCGACAGCTGAATTTAAACCTTATTACAATGGAGTATAGTTCACTATCTATCGTGATTATAGCGCACATAGTGAAGGGTATAGAATAACACTCGATTGTGATTCGGACAATGCAATAATCCGTGCATTGTTGAAACGACATTGTTGTTTTAAGGGCGGCGCGCGCTCGCGACAATTGTGCGCTTTATTGCATAAATAATAATGTTACTCTGGTCGGTGGCATTTCATTGTCAGTTATTTTGGCTGACTTATAGAATTTGCGGACACTAAATAATTAAAAGCGTCAGCTATTGTGAGGTCAGACTATAAAATTACAAATTAATTAACGATAAAAAACTGTTTTAACATTTTTTGGCGAATGTAAATAACTAAGAGTTATTATAATGATAGTTCTTTTAGTTTATCTTATTAACTAAAACGACTAAGTAATTTAATTTTTCTTCTATAGAGCATTACACATGAAAGAGCACCCCGACTATAAATACCGGCCGCGGAGGAAACCCAAGGCGCTGGTGAAGAAAGAGCCAAAGTTCGGCTTCGGCATCAGCGGGCTGATGGCGCCAGTACCGCGGCTACTGCCCCCTTCCTTACCTCACCCTGTACCGCAGCTACCCGTGCCTCACCACCTATTACCCGACAAACCTGATCTCAGCAGGGCGCTGTTCCCGCCCCTGCCTTACCCCTTTTACCCCTTTGCGAAGCTACCCTCTGATGAAGGAAAATTGGCTGCTGAGCTGGCGCACTTGCAGGTAAATTTATATGTAGGTACAAAATAAATAAAACATGAGATATTTATAATTAAAAAAAGGCATATTGAAAATTCAATTTTGTTCATAGGCACTATATGGCGGAGCTCTCTATAGCAGCGCGTTCTACAGCAACGCACTTTCCCCCTGCGGCTGTCCCCCGAGAAGGTCACCCTCCCCTCCCCCGGACGTCAAGCGCCCCGTCGCCTACGTCCTCATGAAGAGCGACGAGGAACCGCCCCAGCATGTTATATGAAGGCCAGTGCCGCTCCCAGCCCGGCCCCTGCCGCTCTGGGAGCGACCCTCCACTTCTATGCAGGAGAGAGACAGCCCTGAAAGTGTATAAGGTTAGATGAAGACTATTCGCTTCAGGACTATTCAAGTGGAGAGACAACTTTGATAGTTTTTGGAAACCAAAGCTCGTGGAAGGGACAGCCCTGATAGTGTAAGTTAAAGTGAAAAACTCTCAAGCGGACAAAAAAACGACAGTGGCAGCCCTGATTGTGTTGTCGAGTCCTAATTAACAATTTTCGTGAAAGAGACAACCTTAATATTAACTGACGCGGTCGAAATACCAATATCATCGGTGTTTGACATTCGAATTATGAAGTGTTAATTGTGTAAATTTATGACGTAGCCAATCCGAAGTGTTCTTCCAAAGGGATAAGTGTAATCATAGCTAAGGATTTAAGTTTTTATTACTCGTGTAGACAACCAGTGTTATATTTAAAGTACTATATGAAGTAGTGTTAGATTGATTTTAAATGACTGAGGGCTAAAATTATTGTGTTTTTACATTCCTTTTTACAAATTTTCGTTTACTTTAGACAGTGTAATTACCTTTAATAAATAATAGTTATATTATTGTAATAATCAAGTTTGTTTTTTTTATAGTTCTCTGTAATGATTCAAGATTTAATTTTATTCTTTGATTTTTTAAATACGTAGGTAAATTCAATTGTATCTATCATGATATAATTTGCCTAAAGAATTTAACATATCATGTATAATTAACACAGAATTATATCTAAAAGCAATCTAATTAAAGTAAGATTTGCTTCTTTTAATTCTCAACATATTTGTAGTATTTCGCAAACTACCATCGATAGACTTTTACATTTAGAGCGTACGTACACTTGAAACTAAACTATCGCACAACTGTTTAGTCTCGCTTTGATTCCTATGAGTTATATGTTACACTACTCGATTTTTAGTTGTGCAACTAATCAGTTGAATTGGCTGCGAAACAATCGACAATCGCACAACAGGTGTGCTATAGTTTAGATGTGCACCCGATCTAAATTGTTTATTTTTAAACATTGTATTTGCTCAACAGATTATTAAAATAATTAAACTCTCGTTAACCATTATAACAAATACGGTCGAATACTGAAACGGATAACAGCGTTTTAAATGATGAGGTGACGCTTACGATTACGAGGCGAAATGTTAATGATTCGTTTCAGTATTCTTGCGATAATCAAAATAATTTTATAATAATACATTAATAAGTTTAAGCTCTTACTTATGTGCTGCAAATAGCACGTAATTGTAAATAATTAGGCGAAACATTTTGTAAAAAAACTAAACTAACGTAAAGTTTTAAGTATTGTTTGTTGTCTTTAGAAAAGAAAAAGTTTGTTAAAACGAAAAAATTATTTGAAATGAGGCCTTTTTAATTTTGATTAATTTAAATTTATCTGTAAATATAGTTTGTTGTTGATAAAATCTTACGAACGAAATAAAGTTTTGAATGTTAAGGTGTGTACTGACTTGAGTTATGCGTGTAATGGAACACGGTTTTAATGCAGTAATTGTGTTACCGGGAAACAAACGAACACCGTGCCGAACGAATGTTACACTTCGTAACATAACAATGGGTAACGTCAGTAGACACCTTAAATCATTTTATTATTTAAATGCAACGGTACAATTTAACAAAGAATCATTTGCAAATCAGAGAGAATGTTAATTTTTTTATAGTGATTGATTTTTCATAGACAATATAAATGTTATGAAATAGTTACGCATTTGTTTTTTTCATAGAATTATTTGCTTATTTTTCCCACCGATGTTCTAAATTAGAATTGTAGTTAAGAACTGTTTAATTAATTACTGTTAGTTTATACTTTGTTTGTTGTTATCATTTTATTACATTACGAATTTGTTTTATATAAGAAAATGTAAATTTAATAAATTTAAGTTTTTATCAGGGTTTTGAGTTGAGCTGCAAGTAAATTTTAAAGAAAACTTCTTTTGTGTTTTATTGATCACCTATTAAAATGATTTGGTCAAACATATTCCTCTCTCTTTCATTCACAATCTTTAGCGATGGAAAGCTACGTTTATTTTGCAGCAGTTTTCTAAATTTTACCCCTTCGACTCTCTAGATATATCTCTTAACATCCCTTCTCAATTAAAAACGAAAAAATCTATATCTTACTTATAAATGTGAAAGTTTAGATGGATGGATGTTTGTTAGAGTTTGAAGCCTAAACTGCTGAACGGATCTCGATGAAATTTAGCATAGATGTTGAGAATACTCTGATAAAACATATTATTTTTATAATTCTTCGCGGACGGTGTGACAGGCGAAAGTTAGTAAACAATAATAGTGTGAAAATTGGAAGGATAATCGAAAGTGACATGTGTTCGTTGTGCGCGAGTGAAGTGGTACTCGAAGCGGCCGCGCGGCAACATCTTTAAAAACATCGAGGGAGAGAAATTAATCCGGAACGCACTCGATTATCTACGAATAAACACTCGCACCAATGAACAATGGAGGGCCACGCACATGTTCGAATATAAGCCAACAAGCCGAGACCTATTTACTCTACTTCATTTATTTGCGAGAAATTATCGACTGGTTTTCCACCTTTCCTTTCCTGATCTAGTCTATCGAACTTGATGACAGTCGAGATTAAAATGATTCTTGTCAATATGCCTCGATTTAAAAACAATTGATCTGAACTTCTAGAGTAAATTTCTAGTTACACTATAAACTTTTAAAGCAAACCTTATCAATATACGAAAAACCTTTACAATAACTTATCGCTTTGCCACCTTCCTTTTTTTTTTATAACATAAGGTGGCAAACGAGCAAGTGGCCACCTGAAATCGCCAAAATGGCGAAGCGACCGCTGCTTATAGACATCCGCAATTGCTGATGCGTTGCCTACCGTTATCCGACGGAGAAGGAGACGCACATAAAGAGGATATTTCCCCTTCCTATGCTTCTCCTCCACCGTCAAATCCACTTCCCGTTCCCATCCTCTCCTTATAAGAAAAGGGTGGTAAAGAGAAAGGGACTTAAATTAGGCCCCCGGCACCACACTCATCAGACGAAACACGGAATTGCTTCCATTTCACGCCTGTCTTCTGTGTGGTCGTGGTATTACACCGGGCTTGCCGGCCCATTCGTGCTAAGATGTTAAAGCGGGCACTACCACTGTTAAAATTTCCTATCTAGGCTATCGAACTTGATGATATTCGAGGTTAAAATCATTCTTGTCAATAAGCCCTGTTTTAAAAACAATTGATCTGAACTTCTAGTTACACCATAATACACCAAACTTTATCAATGTACGAAAAACCTTTACAATAACTTATCGCTTTGCCACCTTCCTGTTAGAATATAGTCTGTAATTACCCTAATGTTAAAATGTCTCTACTTCAACCCATTGGCATCACCAGGTCGGAGTAGGGTAGGCAGCCACACTCCTCTTTATAAAGAGATACAAAACCTACATCGGATGAGACAATACACGTCCCTAGACCTAGGCTAGACTAGACCGTGGGTAGTGACACTCATATTTCATACCTATTTAGCATGCTTCTACCCTGATACCTCAAAATAAGTACCCCATGTTTAAAAATAATCAAGTATTTACGAGGGGGATAATAAAATTAGTTACCGCTTTGGCGATCATTTTTTATTTGCGATCTATAAAAAAACAATAATGTAAGGTTAGGTCCGCAATCGTTCGCGTTTACAGATTAGATGCGCCACTACGATGAGGGGACCGATTCCGTTTTTACCATCAATAGGGTAACAATGTCTTAACATAAAAAATAGACTTAAAAAAATCAGAAGTAAGGGTAATAAATAAGGTAAGAAGTAATTGTCCTATTTTTTAAGCACACTACACAGTTTGAACTGTAGATTAAAAATTAACTACTATTTAACTAAATAGTTAAAACTGAACATATTTATCAGGCTTAATAGTTCTGTTTTTAAAGAATTTTTAATATCAATAGCTAATTTAAAAAATATTGTACACTCATTGTGGTCACGTTGTTCGCTTACCGGGATTTTGTTTCACAAATGATGGACACCGTAGTCTAACCCCATAAATAAACACCCTTTAGCAACTAATTGCTGAGGCGGTGAGCGATCTCGTTTCAGTGAGACATTCCGCAAATTTAGCGACGCGCCTCCTTTTATATGTAATGCTTATCTCAGAATACAAGAACATTACTTTTCATAAGAAAAATATCAATAAAGCCCTACTTCAAGTATAGATTGTAAGGCTTAATATTTGGATAACGAAATAAAAGTATCTAATTTAGCTTTTTTACAAAGGTATCCTTAAAAAGCTAGGGTTGATGGCAACAGTAATAATTATCAAAATTTTAGTCTATAGATAAACTTTCGAAATCGTATCTACGTCTCTTGAGTTGTAACCCTAAAGAGTAGAGATATTGAAGGCATCGATACTTGGTATTTAGGATTTTTAAAGGAAATAGTAGAAATTTCCTTAGCTCATAGATCTATGACAATCTTGAATTCGAAACCAAAACAAATGTGTTAACAGTGGTAGTGCCCGCTTTAACATCATAGCACGAATGGGCCGGCACGCCCGGTGTAATACCACGACCACACAGAAGACGGGCGTCAAATGGAAACAATTCCGTGTTTCGTCTGATGAGTGTGGTGCCGGAGGCCTAGTTTAAGTCCCTTTCTCTTTGCCGCCCTTTTCTTATAAGGAGAGGATGGTAAGGGAAAGTGGATTTCACGGAGGAGGAGATACATAGGAAGGGGAAATATCCTCTTTATGTGCATCTCCTCCTCTTTCGGATAAGAATAAGTAATGCATTTGCAATTGCGGATGTCTATGGGCAGCGGTCGCTTCGCCATTTTGGCGGATTCAGGTGGCCGCTTGCTCGTTTGCCACCTTTTGTTATAAAAAAAATGTATCAAATAGAACTTATACAAGTTTGTAAAAAACCATGTCCGCCGTCAAATCCGGTTACAGCCGCCCATCATAATTGCAATCCGCTCGCGGTCACAGACGGACAGATTGAAATTTACGCTGCAAAGTGATTAAATGAAACCCCCATTCGTTACTGACAATTTTCAGTCCCGTAATGAAAAACCTACACAAACGTCGCCAACAAAATAAATAAAATAGAAAGTGAATCGAATTTTCATTCAATCTTCACTTTTAAATATATTTTCATACTTTTAGATCGCGGGCACATTTTTGCCTGAACTATCGCAGAACTGTTTAGACTCGCTTTGATTACTATGAGCTTATGGAGGTGCGCACAATACTCAATCTTTAGTTGTGCAACTAAACAGTTGAATGGGCTGCGAAACAATCGACAATCACACAACAGTTGTGCGATAGTTTAGTCAAAGGTGTGCGCCACTCTTAATTAACATGGATACATTTTAAAATCCAATTTTGCACATCAAAACATATCGTATCTTTGAAATTTTCGTAGAAATCATAGGCGGGTCGATTCGATGTAAATGTATGAAGACATACGCATCAGAATGACCGTCATTTAGTGGTCGGTGGTGGCAATTTGCGACGCTTATC